ACAGCACAGCACAGCACAGCAGCACCACTACCACTATTACCACTACCACACGCGATCCACCCGCAACCGCCAACCTTCCTCTCCCTCCCTCCTAACGATCATCTCGACTCATCTCGGACGCTGCCACTCATTTTCTTAATAAATCTGCGATTTTACCGCCCCGCTCGCCATGGCTGACGCGCCCAACTCTGGCGATGAGCTGTACCCTATCGCCGTCCTTATTGACGAGCTGAAGGTATGCTAAGTTTGGCGGTGACGCCACGCTCCATCTCAACGCTTCCCCTTCCTACGTGGTTGTCTTATCGCCAAGAAGCGAAGAATTACACGTTCATTACTGACTCTCGATTCCTCTCCAGCACGATGATGTTTTGCTCCGTCTCAACGCAATCCACCGTCTCTCGACCATTGCTCTCGCTCTCGGCGCTGAACGAACCCGTGAGGAGCTTATCCCCTTCCTCGATGGTCAGTCTTCGATTAGCTCTCCCGCTTGCCAACATGCGCTTTAAAACCAAAGACGTCTCTTAACCTTGATATTATGCAGAATCCGTGGAAGATGAAGACGAGGTCCTTGTTGCCCTGAGCGAGGAGCTTGGCGGCTTTGTCGAGTATGTCGGCGGTTCCCAGTGGGGTCACGTTCTGCTGTCTCCCCTCGAGAACCTCGCTTCTATCGAGGAGCCCGTCGTTCGCGACAAGGTAAACGAACCCGCCGTTAACTCTAATCGCCCTTCCTCATGCTGACTGACAACGCAGGCCGTCGAGTCCCTGAACAAGATTTGCACCGAGCTTTCTTCTCAACAAGTCGAGGAATATTTCATTCCCCTCACAATTCGCCTCGCCAAGGCCGATTGGTTCACATCAAAGGTCTCGGGATGCGGCCTCTTCACAAGTCCTTACAACAAAGTCTCCCCGCCCGTCCAAGAGCAGCTGCGCCAGCAGTTTGGCCTGCTTGTTCACGATGAGACGCCCATGGTCCGTCGCCAGGCTGCAACCAATCTCGCCAAGTTTGTCAAGGAGATGCCCGCCACCATCGTTGTCGACGAAATGATACCCCTCTTCCAACACCTCGCGCAAGATGATCAGGATAGCGTCCGATTACTCACAGTCGAGGTTCTCATCTCTATTGCCGAAGCCGTTCCCAAGGAGCAACAGGCCAGCCATGGTGTGTTGCTGACAGCTCTACGCAATTTGATAGAGGACAAGAGTTGGAGAGTCCGATACATGATCGCGGATCGGTTCGAGAAGGTTCACAACACCTGCCACTCCTTATGTTCCTTGCTGGTGCTAATTTCTACAGATTGCTAAGGCGGTAGACGAGGAGGTTGTTTCTAGAGACCTCGTTCCCGCATTCGTAAAACTTCTCAAAGACAACGAGGCCGAGGTACGAACCGCTATTGCTGGCCAGATTCCCGGCTTCTGTGCTCTTGTGGATCGGAACGTGCTCCTCAACGACATCATGGGCAGCATTGAGGATCTTGTCTCGGATACATCCCAACATGTCCGTGCTGCGCTTGGTACCCAGATCAGTGGCCTGGCTCCTATCCTTGGAAAGCAAGAGTACGTCAGTCAGTCTTTGCGAACAGGGCCTCGATTCTAATTTCCCTTTTAGGACTATCGATCACCTTCTCCCCATGTTCCTTCAGATGCTTAAGGACGAGTTCCCGGAGGTTAGGCTCCACATCATCTCCAAGCTTGAGCTCGTGAACCAAGGTTAGCCACAGAACTCATTGTGTATGATATGAAGCTGACGTAAAGCAGTCATTGGCATCGACCTCCTCTCACAGTCACTTCTTCCCGCAATTGTACAACTCGCTGAGGATAAGCAATGGCGAGTAAGACTGGCGATTATCGAGTACATCCCTCTCCTGGCCAGTCAACTGGGCGTTCAATTCTTCGATGAGAAGCTCAGCAATTTGTGCATGGGCTGGCTGGGAGATACCGTTTTCTCTATTCGTGAAGCCGCTACTCACAACCTGAAGAAGCTCACTGAGGTCTTTGGTGTTGAGTGGGCCAGCGAAGCTATTATCCCCAAGGTTATGGCTATGGGTAACCACCCTAACTACCTTTACAGGATGACCACTTGCTTTGCTATCTCGGTGATTATCGCCCTTGCCTGAAACTGTGAGCCCAGACTAACTCTTTTGCAGACATTGGCGAGCGTTGTGAGCATGGATGTGATTGCTAAGTCGATCCTCCCTATGCTCGACAAGCTGGTCACTGACGATATCCCCAACATCCGTTTCAACGTGGCCAAGACATACCGCGTTCTCATCAATGTACTTCGACGTCTGCCAGACGAGGGTACCCTGTATGATCTGGAGAAGCAGGGCAGTGAGATCACACCGTCGCCTCGGGGCTCGGAGCTGATCCAACAACGAGTTGTTCCTAACCTGGAAAAGTTGCAAAAGGACGACGACGTGGATGTGCGATATTTTGCGACGACAGCAGCTGCCGAGATCTCGGGACCCATTGCTGGAGGGGAGCCTATGAATACATCGCCATAGATGAGAGACGTAATGAAGCAATAATCATTGTTGAGACAGATTTTGTCTGCTTTTTGTTTTGTCCCGTCCATATCGCTACAGAAAGAGAGAAAGACAAACAGAAGCCTATGAAGTCGTACGTTGCATATTAGAAGCTACTAGTTGGGGCTGGGCATTGCTGCGCTGAGTTGAGTCAAGATGAGAAAGGGGAAATGTTCTGCAAAAGATGCGATAAACAAAAGCTTGATGTGGAGCCTCTGAAAGGGGTAAGGAGATGATGAGCCCAGATGAAGCTTTGGGGATCACCAAAATGGGGAGGAGTCCAAGAGGGATAGTCCAAGCATTGACACGAGTCCAAATACCATTGTATGATACAACAAGAGCTCTCAGAGGTGAATGATATTGACTGTTTAGAATAGGTGCTGGAGCCAGCACAGAGTGATGATGGGTATCTTTTTTTGTTCTTCAACCTGCACTGCATCTACTGTATCCTCTATACTCTGCGGAAGCAGAGTGTGCTGATTGTTTGGCCTTTATGGCCTCCAAAGCTGAAGGAACGATATTCAACTCTGCCAACGACTTGAAACCCTTCTTCGCTGGTCTTTTCGAACCAGCCTCTCAGCTCCGTCTCGGTCCAGTTGCAGCTTGTCACCAAGAAGATGCCACCCTTGCGAACAAGGGGCAGGACTCGCTCTCGATAACATTCGCATAGCCGTCGTCCTTGAGCATCTTTCTCGTCGCTCAGAGAGATGGCATCGAAGGTGCCCTTGTCCAGTACCACATCCCAGCCCTCGGTCTGCTCGCCGTTAAGGACAGGGCTGTATGGTCCAGCTATAAGATCCCACTCTTCGAACTCGACAGGCTTCTCAAGGTCGTCTTTTGTGGTGGTAATTTGTCGCGCAAGTGCAATGCTTTGGGGGCTGTAGTCCACACCAAGAGCTCGTGCAGACCAATCCTCTTGGCGGAGGGAGAATAGAAGAGAACCGTTGCCGCAGCCAAGGTCGAGAAAGGTGGTGGTGTCGTGGGAGAGGACAGGTGAGTCCGGGTCAGAGGGGTCAAGCAGACCGTCTAGGAACTCGAGGATCTTTGCTTCAGCATCTGAATCGTCAAACCAAACAGTTCCTATGTCGGAGGGATCAGCAGCGTGGTTTGTTATCTCATTCGTGTAAAGGTCATCCCAGCTGTTTGGGGCAGAGTGTTGTTAGTCTGCAGTTTGAGAGAGAGGGAGAGAGAGAGAGAGAGAGAGAGGCGAAGGGAGAAGGTACTATTGTTTTGTGCCAAGCTTTGACGGCTCAAGATGCTGGGGCCTTTCATTTGAGGACATTGTGGGAGACTTGTTTTGGGTTTCGAGAGCAATCAAGTTATTCAGAATCTGTTCATCCATTGACATCCATATTAACAGTGACAATTATGGTAGCCCAGGTATATTTTGTGGTGGGGTTAGTTATCGAGGAAATATCCAAAAGGAGCAGGCGGTGAAAGTGGGGTAATTCTTCATGTGCCATGTTAGAACTTGGCAAACTTATAGACTACTGTACGTATGAGATGTCCATGATAGATTCAGGTAGCCAAGGTAGCAGGTACCTAATGTTCATACACGCCGAGTCGAGGTATTCAAAATCCGTCAAATATTGGTAGTCAAGAATTCTCCCAGAAGAGTTTTAGCAGTGGAGCAGAACCGACAACTGCAGTTCTTACAGACACTTCTTAGGCATAAAGCTCATATCTTACTTACCCTGAGGATACAAAGACTATCTAGTCATGTATAAATAGGCAGACAGGCATTACTGATGAACTTGATAGGGTTGGCTGATTACCAGGTACTGTAGATTGGTTCTAGCAAGGCGTAAGTCTTGAGATGTAATGGATCTCCTCAAATACCCATTGTCAGGTACTTTTGGAACGTTACATGTACAACAGTGTGTTTTCCCTGCTGCAACAGCAATCCCACAACGCAAGCAGATCAAGTCAGGTGCGTCGTGTAGATGAGCTGGCCTATCCCTACTCCGGCCTTGGAGCCACATAATCCTTTTCCATCTGTAAGAGAGGAATGGCCCTGTATGGGTATTTATCATTCGATCATCATGATCATGAATACCTTATTCCTGATATCAACCGCACCGCAAAATCATGCAAGTTTCCAAACACCAGGCCCCGTATAAGTTAAAAGTTCGTTCGTCTTTTCGCGACGATGGTTATCGCTCGTCCAGTCAATTACCGGACGAGTAGCGTAACAGCAAAGCCCCATAAGCAATAGATGTGTATGTGTATGTATGAATGTGAGAAACAGAGCCACAAACCAAGCCAAACTTAGTAGAAAGACTCGACCATGGTGTCCTTCATGCTCGTGTTGATGTTGCTGGGGCCCTGACCCTCGCCAAGGCGGAACACACTCTCGATAACGCTGAGCTCTGTGGCAGTTGTGTCGAGACCAGTCACGGCGAGCCAGTCGTTGACGACCATTCCAGCACCAACAACGTTTGAGCCACGGTTGACACTACCAGCGACGAGAGGAACCTGAAGCAAGCTGGACAATTCGTCCTGATCTTGAATAGGAGTCTTGGGATGCACGAGGCCACCCTGGTTAGACAAGCTCATGTAGCTGCCCACTAGGACATTGTCTGCGACAGTCTGACGGAAGACTTCCACGCCGAGGACATCTGCGATGATCTCTTCTGTTTCACGCTCCAAATCAGGGTGCACAAGAGCGATGTGATCGTTTGTGACGATGACGTTTCCGAGAGCTGACAAGCGCTCCTCGATACGTTGGATACGGACTGAATCGGGGAGTGAATTTCTCAAGTGCTGCAGCTCCTGGTCGGTTGTGGTTGTGGGAACGAGAAGACCCTTTCGGTTACCAGCGGTCATACGGCCAATGATACGGGTACCAGCGATTGTGGTTCGTACAGTAGGAATGATATCTTGGAGCTCGGCTTCAAAGACACTGCAGGATGTCAGCACGAGAGTAGTTGTCAGGGTAGGTGAGAGGACTTTACCTGTAGAAGTTCTCACTGGCACCGAGAGCCACGAGGGCATAAGAGTTGGTCAAGGTGGAAAAGACACCGACCCTGAAGATTGCATGTTAGCACCGATCTCAAAACACATTGTAAAGCAGCAAGGCATATCATCCATATAGGTAGATATCTGTACGCCGCATAAAAGAAAGGCGGGGGCGGGGTGTTTGAGGCACAGGGAGGAGCTTCAATCACCAGAAGAAAAGACAACAAGGATGACATACTCGTTGGAGTTCTCGAATTGAGCGCGGACGGCCATGATTGCTGTAGTGAGTGGTCTGGGTCGTGCAAGTCGTAGTAGAGTCTAGAATTTTGAGGGTGGTGTAGGTAGGTAAGGTAGTTGAAGATTGAAGTTGTCGCAAAGTGGGTGCTCGTGGTAGGTTTTTTTTTTCTTCGTCTGGTTTGGTTTTGCTTTCTTGCCCCTCCTTCTTCTTTTTCCATCTTTGGAGCGGGGGGGAGCTCTCGCCGTTATTTATGCAATTGGATGCGGTTTCTGTATCCATCACATCTATAGTGGAGCTCAGGCAGTCAGCAACTAAAAGGTCCCTTAGGTTGTCGCTAAAATTGCTCTCAGCCCCCTAAGCACGCCCCCTAGGCCCCGTCTGAAAACAGTAACCTATGAGCCTGATGACTCACTTGAAGCAAATTGCTAAGGAACCTCGCCACTAGGTATGGATTCCATTGGGCGGGTACTGTAAGGTGAAAAGGACCCTGCTTTATTTGTTACTGTAGGATGACTCTTTTTTGAATGGAAACCTATGACTCCTTGGCCGTCTATCAAGTACCCCATCCCCCAGAAGCTTACCTAGTACCTAGGTGCCCTATCCCAAGATCTTATGAGGCTCGTAGAATTCAGCCCTAGGTAGGTCCTTACTAGGTACCTAGTTAGCAATAGTAGCTTGGACCCTTCGACTCATCTTGCATCAAGTCCAAATACGGTAAGTGATGAACTTGCATCATCCATCCTAAGGTACTCCAAGTCAGTCAGGCACCTTCATTACACTCAAATAACGTGATTCGGAGCCTTTTCATGACTCTAAACTGATTTTATATATGCAGCCAGATGCCAATAGAAAATCCTTGTCGCATCATGAACTGCTCGTCTCATGGTAACATGTATGTATTTACAAAGAACAAAATAAGGGTCCGCATCCAGTATCCCTAGAGGGGAAAAAAAACCATCATCATGCCGTTCGTGATCCTTTGTCCCATCTTGCTCTGTTCGAGGTCATGTTGTCACAACCCCTTTGACCCTCAGTCAACTCTCGGGCCCTTGGTCTCTCTCCGGATATCAACTGTCGCCTCGCCATTTCACCCAACGCATGGCACTAATTGCTCGTATCCCTGAGCTTCATCGTAATGGAGTCATCAATACTCAAAGTACTCGACTTGTCTTCACAGAGTCCAGACAGGCGCCTTCATCAGAACTTGTCTCCCTCGTACTTCCAACGCCATAAATCCTGCGAATCGCACCCTGTTCGAGTCCTTCGGCAGGGCCGCTACAAAAGTGTCCTTGTCAGCATCCTTCATTGCGCTCTTCGAAGCATCGTTACCCTCCCCGCTCTCGGGCGGGGCTGCATTATTCAACGTACCAGTCTTAGCTTTGCCGCTCTTTTCGTCGTCGCCGTCCTTGTCGTCGCCCTCTCCCTCTCCCTTCTGAGCCTCCAATACTGGCAAGGCAGCCTTCTCAACCTCCATCACATGCGGCTGGACGATCTCTCCAGGCAACGGGTAGGTAATAGCCACATCCCGACTCTCCAGGGGAAGGTTGGCTGCAATGCCCACCGCAAGCTCCACGATCATTGATGCGCTACCGTCCACGCCAGGTGGTGGCGGGTTGCAAAGGAACTGGTAAAGACAGCTAGTCAGGGATGCCGTTGACTTGGCGATAAATGCATTGCGATTATCGTTCGCAGCCGCTGAGTTGAGCTGTCGGTGCAAACCGTCCAATGATGTCATCCGCCAGCTCACAATCTTGTTCGTCAAGGCGTCGAACTCTTCCTGACTAGTCAAAGTATGCGTGTTGCTTCGAATGCCCAGCTCAATCTCCTTGAGAGATTGGCTCAGCTGCGCATCCAATCCGGGGTGGAAACACTTGTTGAACACCTCCTCCATGATCCAACGTGAGATCACAGCGCGTCCAATAGCTGTCATCTCAGCCTTTCCAGTTTTGAGTGCTTCTGTGCTGACATACTTGTCGAGCCATTGCGGCACGCACCGCCAATCTTTTCGAATGTTGAACGAGAGGTTGTTAATGGCACCATTGAGTCGGTTGAATCGTGTCGAGTATTCACTGTCATCGAGAGCGGTACGCGATTGCGACATGCGCTGGTTGGCGACTGCATTCTGGAGATGCACGATTTGACCATTGAGGGCCTCAATCTGTCCCTTGCCATCAAAGTAGAGTCTCTTGACGTTCTTGTATTTAGTTACTGTAAACAATCAATCAGTATGCTGTACTCTCTGCGCCTAAGCAGAGATTCTTCTGGTCTCTACTTACACAGGTCCTTAAAAGACTTGTCATTTTCGCCAGCCTCAGCGGGAACTGCAGATACTGGCTGGGGGCTGTCCCTTCCTTGATCTACGGGTTGACCCTCATAGGGAGATGGGCGATCGCTACGGTAGGCCGGTGTCTGGCCGGCCGACTGTGGCGGCACGGGAGGTAGTGGGTTCATGTTGTTCATAGAGTTGGCGGGACGGTAAGTGGGGGGCGGGCCACCGGGGACATCGGCCTGCCCACGCAGCTTTTCGGAGTCAGGACGGCGCGCGGATGGAGGTCCTCCGGTCGGTGGTGCCATACCGGGTTGCTGCGGCTGAGTGGCTGTCTGTTGAGCAGGAGGAAGGCTCGGGGTTGAACCTTGATTCTGTATATACAGTGCGTGGTTCACAGCGGGAGAGTTGGTTGCTGATTGCAGTTTGGCCGAACGCTGGTCCGAGTCGGCGACAGGCGATTCATGCGAGAACTGAGAGACTGTTTCAGGGTTCTGAAACTGTGCGCTGGGGCCCAAGTGTGCGGGAACTGATCGGAGATCTCCACCTTGGTTACCACCCTGGTGATAGTTGCCTTGCTGTTGAGCGTTTGAGAACTGGTAAGGCTGTTGCGAAGGCGAATGCTGTGGTGGGTTGAGAGGTGATTGTTGCTGGTCGTACACGTTCGTCTCGTAAGCGCTTTGTGGTTGTTGGTCCTCCGTATGTAGCTGAACGTGGGTTTGCGGCTGCTGTAGCGGGGCCTGGCTCTGGTTCTGGTGATAGGCGGCGTCCTCGTAAGAAGGCTGCTGCTGCTGTTGCTGTTGATCTGCTTCACCAGAGACTTGGCGAATGGTGTTGTGGAGCGAAATTCGTGAAGTCTGTGAAGGTGATGGCTGGTTAGATTGATGCGCGGTATAGTGTTCATTAATATCGTCGAGACCCTGGCGAGACGAAAGCTGGGGTAAAGGGGAACGTTGACTCTCCGGGAGCTGCTGGACCTGCTGAGGAGCTCAGCTTGAGCTGGCGGATGCGGCGAGGGCGGCTAACGCCAATAGCACGGCACAGTAGCCAGGTTTAACGACTGGGGCTTGGGCTTGGGCTAGAGATGATGAAAGGAGATTGGGTCAAGTTCTGGACTGGGCTTGACGACTGTGGCTGGCCAAGTACTTTGCTGATGAGTGATAGGTACAGGCAGAGGGGAAGGCGGAGTGAGATTGGGAGTGAGATTGGGGTGTTGGGCTGGGCTGAGAGAGGGGAAGAGACAAGTGAACAAACAAGATAGGAAGACTGGGGGTTCCAGCTCACAACTGGTAAGGGGTGGGACAAGAAAATCAAGGAACGATTCAGAAGAGAAAGGCGGTGGATTGCTCACCCGCTTGGAAGGCCGACGTGCAAGGCCGCCAGTATTATCGTAGGATTGGTTGTTACTGTGGCCGATGCTTATGCTATGGTGGTGGTGGCCGTCGGATGCCCCACGATTGGACCCAGAAAATATGCCCTTAATCAATTTTCGAGTCGAGCGCTTCTCAGCAGGAGCTGTTTGCTGTTGTGCTTGTGCTTGGGCCTGTGCCTGTGCCTGCGCTTGCTGCTGTTGTTGTTGCAGCTGCTGGGGTGGAATTTGGCCGTAACGGTTCAGGTCCTCTACAGATGAGGTCTGGAGGTTATAGGGCGTGGCAGCGCTATAACGGATACTCTGCGAACGGCCCAGGCCAGCGTCGTTAAATTCGCTCTGCGGCTGATGAGGATCAAATGCGACGTTAGAAAGGTTGGAACTCTGCTGCTGCTGTAAAGAAGGAGGATGTTGATTAATGTTAGCACCGGTTGTGCTACTGGCGGCTGAAGGCGAGCTATAGAGATGCGGCGGGGG